ATTTAACACATTTTAATCAGAGCCTTAAAAGTTCAACGTTAAAACAAAACAAAAAAATGTCTTTAATTAAATTGTCATGAAATTGATTTGGATGAGCCGTCTATCTTGAGATTCATGGAGGAACCTTGTCTACCATAAGGTTCTTGGTGTAAGTGTCCAGATGCCATTTTGTCTATGATATTTTCTGGACATTGTATTATCTGGAAGGAAAACAAAGGAAGCAGAAGAAATGGTAATCTCTAGATATTGTCCTTTAAGTTGTATTATTAACAGAGCAAGTCTAAATTTTGATGTAAAAAATAACATTAAAATGACTGGTTGAAACATTTTTTTTTTTTTTTAAACAACTTGGAATTTATTTTTTTAACATACGTCATTTGTTTAATTAAAGTTCTGGACAAGTTATAAATTGTCAATTTTCATGGAAGATTGTAGTTTAACTCTGCAGAAAAAATTTCAGGCGGACTGTTTACTTAAATTTGTGATATTTTTGTTTTTCAAAGACAAAAAAAAAAAAAAAAAAGGTTACAGCAAATAAATAGGAAAAGTTAAAATACCGTTAAATGTTATTTAATACTGTTTATTAAACAGAGCATTTGCTTAAATCTTGTATCTATAAAAATAACAACGTTAAACATAAATAAAAATGTCTTTTAAATAAATATATATATATATATATATATATATATATATATATGCAATTCAGTCTAAGAATTTGGAAAGGACATTCTCATGGAACAAGCACAATACAAACATTTCAGAGAGTCTGGATGTCATTGAGGAATGCAGACAATTCAGAAAACAGGAGTCTAATGGTCAACAAATGTGTTTGGTGATCACTACAGAGTTGCCTCTATTCATCTTCCTATAGGACCTTGAGGAGGTAGTGCTGCCATTTATTTGGCTGCCCATGTCTCAACAGGAATTACACCATGACACATAGGCAGGAGAACCCCTTTATGGCTGTCAGACAATTTCTCAATCACATCAAATAAATTGGCCACCTAACTCCCCAGACTTCAACCCACCCTTGATTTGTTTTTTGAAGGAAAAATTGATTCACCAACTTAAACAAGGAGACTGTCCAGCAGAAGAGTTGCAGGAGATTCCAAAGTTTTCTGGAGGCAGTGGCTAAAGCCAATGGCGATTTTATTGAATAAATTTAGTCTTTAGTATTTCAAGATATGCAATTTTGGTAAATATATATCTGTTAAAATAAGTTGTGTAATTTAGACAATTTATCCATCGCACCCTGTATATAAATTGAAATTTCAATATTGATGATTTTTTTTTTTTTAAATCTTAGTAAAGAAAAATTTTCTGATGTCATTAATCTATATACCAGATGAATAATTCAAGAAAGCATCACCACATATTAAAGCTCATAATCAAAAGAGGGATTAGAAACAATTCAATTGTTTAGAAAGTTTTCTATCAACACACACAGGTTCTATATCTTGGCCAATAATCATGCAAATCAATCCCCACAGGTAACCTATAAAAAGGTAGATGTGAATAATAAAAGAAAAAGCTTTATTATCCAAAGTTTTTAATTAAAACAAGCAGTAAATATTCTTGACATTAAGACTAATATCGTTTAACCAATCTGTATTCTGCTAAAAAAGCAGTTTTTGAAGAGGAGTATGCCAAATCCAAGTAAAACCAACAACAATACTTGACAATCAAAAATTGGCAAATCTCATCACTCTTTCATTGTCGGTTTTAATCTCTTTGCAAGTCAAAGAAGCTTTAGAAGTTATTACAGTGGAGAGAGAATTGACTAACTTAATTTGCTGACAACACTGACTTAGTTTAAGCATTTTGAATCAGAGCCAAGTTCTATTCAAACAAGTTTAGCATGAAATTGATTTGGATGAGCCGTCTACGTCTTGGCAGGAGGAGGTAATTTCTTTATGTAAGTGTCCAGAGCCATTTTGTGTGATTTCTGCTTGTATTATCTGGAAGGAAAACAAGGGAAGCAGAAGAAATGGTAATCTCTAGATATTGTCCTGCAGTTGTATTATTAACAGAGCAAGTCTCTGTTTTGATGCTTGAAGAGGGGAGAATAGACTGGTTGAAACATTTTTTTTTTTTTAAACAACTTGGAATTTATTTTGTTTACCAATAATTAAAGTTCTGGACAACAAATTGTCAATTTTCTTTTCTTGTTGTTTAACTCTGCAGAAAAACTCCTGGAACTAAATTTGGTGATATTTTTTGTTTTTCAAAAAAAAAAAAAAAAAAAAAAAAATTACAGCAAATAAATAAAAGTTAAAATACCTTAACATGATCCATAAATGTTAATCTCATGTAACGATCCCGGATGTCTGGCTGACTAAGAATGTCACAGAGGACATTCTCTGGAACAAGCACATTACAATCGGCTGCCATGCATTGAATACCTACAACAGAAAAACTCTTCAACAACTGATCACAGAGTTGCTTCAAGTGGCTTATTGAAGTAAATACATTTATTTAATCCCAACTCCAAAGAATTATTGGAAAGGAGGAAACCCCTTTAGAAGGACTAAGTTCAATTTCAAATAATTAGCCATGCACTTTTGTTTTTTTTTCAAGAAAATTGATATCATGGTCGGTCACATGAACTAACATTCTTTTAGCTACCAATTAATTTCTAGTACGAATCTAACACTAAATTGCGGATTTTAAAAGAAAAATATGTATAATTTCTTGAAAATGTCTTCAAACTGAAGACTTAATTTTGTTTTATAGATAAATTTATTTTTTTTGGTCCTTTGAGAGAGATAGATAGATAGATAGAGAGATAGATAGATAGAGAGATAGATAGATAGAGAGATAGATAGATAGAGAGATAGATAGATAGATGAGATAGGGAGATGATAGATAGATAGAGAGATAGATAGATAGGAGATAGATGGATAGAGAGATAGAGATGGAGATAGAGAGGAGATAGATAGAGAGAGAGATAGATAGAGAGAGAGATAGATAGAGAGATAGATAGATAGAGAGATAGATAGAGAGAGATAGAGAGAGAGAGAGAGAGAGATGAGGATAGAGATGAGAGAGAGAGAGATAGGGAGAGAGAGATGGGAGAGAGAGAGAGAGAGAGAGATAGAGAGAGAGACTGACCCGTTGTGACACCTTGCTGAATTTGTACTTGGAAATATTTATCCCAACATTCTTTACAAAAGGCATGTCCACATGCTAAACTCTCCACTCTGTCTCTGGAATAGCGCAAAGTGCAAACAGCACACACCAAACTGTTGACCCCAGGATCCTGAAACAAAAAGATAAAAATTGATCATCAGGCAAACAAATTATGGCAATCATCTAATTCCCAAACACATGCACAATCAAAAAGTTTTCACACCAGTAGTTTTCTTACCTGAAGTTTGACAGATGGCATAATATTTGACTCCACAAGTAACCTGGCAGGATTTTCAGTATGTCTGAAATTTTTTAAATTAAGAAGCACTTAAAAAAAAAAAAAAAAAATTAATGAAAAATATAAAAAGGTCTTCAATTAGCATTTGCATGTTAAGAGAACATGAATAATGGACATAATTAACTTTTTTGTAATTCTATTGAGGAATCTTTGTAGAAAGAAAATTGTACAATACTTTATTTTTTGGAGAGAGGCAAAACATTTCCACCATTAATATTTAGCTAATATTTTGTTTCTCTTGTTTATTGAAAAAAAAAAAAAAAAAAAAAAAAAAAAACACTTCTGGCATAGTAAAGTTACTTCCAAGGCTAACTTCAGCCACACACAAGCAAAGGCTATCATGTTGCTCCTTCTCCACTTGAAATCTTCATTGAAAGTTTTTGGCTTTACTATCTAGCAATATTCTTCAGTTAGTTGAATTTAGAGTACAAACATTATCAAGATTCATTTAAAAAATCTCATAGAAAGTTTTTTTTTTTTTTTTTTTATTACTGGTTAACACCAATTTAACAAGGTTATTAGAAAAAAAAAAAAAGAAAAAAAAAAAAGAAAAAAAAGAAAAAAGGGAAATATACTTAAAAAAAATAAAGAAAATAATATTAGCAGCAATAATATTCTGAAGGAATTAATTTATTGTGAGGGAGTTAGCAAGACAAAGAGTTAATTACTTTTTTATCAAGTATTCTTTTTGCCATCCATGTTCTTGAAGTAACATCTTGGATAAAGCAGGACTAATCTGAAAGAAAAAAAAAATCATCTCATTTCTATTGATTCAAAGACAGAATTCAGCTGAACATCAGAAAAATGTTGACTGCTGAAGAGTACAATTGCCACACTCAACAATTAAAGAAAGAAAAAAAAAAAAAAATAGAAGTACAGAGATTCACTATCCGATATATGGCCCACCCAGAAAGAGATCTATTCTTCAGACTACTGCTATGAGAAATAAAATCATTCAGCCAATCAATAAGTGGCTACTGGGAGGGGTGGGGAAAAGTTCACTTAGTTCCCCCCACCACCTTTTTCAAAATCATAATTTATGGTAAATATTAACCACTAATAAATTCACAGCATAAAAAAGATTCTCAAGAGGAGAAACCTTCAACTTTTTGCAGATTGCTAAATTAACAGTTAATATTGTTAATTTTTTTATGGTATTATTAATAATAATTATTTCCTAACCAATCCCAATATTTGGTCAAGAATACCAAGTAATAACATTTCTTATATATTTAACAAGACACTTAGAACATGATAGACTTCTGCAGGAGAGAAAGGAAAGCTAGAGCCTTTAAAATTTGGAGAGTCAAATAATTAGATAGAAATCTTGCTTTTAAAGGAGTAGCAGCTGGTCAAATACCTGGATGTTATTTAAATATACATATATTAAGCCTGCAAAGCAAGTTGGCATTTCTCCTAATAATTACTTTGGATAGAGTCCAACTACTGGACACTCAGTGACTATCAAACATTACTCCACGACTCATTTCCGTATGCCACTAATCAAAACAACCTGAATTACAAGACATTGTATAAATAGTAGGCAAAGGAAGAGCCTTTGAAGTTGTCAATGGAAACTAAGTCCTGCCATATTATTTAATTTCAAACTCAAATTCCTTGAGCTAGTAAACACCTCATATTCTTACCAATATTTTGCTATTATAAAATTCAATCAAAGTGTGGGGAGGGGGGGGTGAAGAAGCAAAGGTGTTAACTTTTGGGTGGTTCTTGCACTTAAAAGAACAGCAATCATCACTGACACTAGATGTAGTAGTAACAATCGGGGAAATGTAAATTAGACTAATTTTACGGCCTGAAATTAATGTCATCTTGTCCTGGGGGGAGTGGGGGCATCAGAACATTTGTTTGAAATTATGGAGCTTTGGGGAAGGAGACAATGCTGGCATGATAGAAAATTTTTAATTGAAAAAAATTCATATTATGTATTTAATTATTCTAAAAGCAACTAAATTCTTAAAAACACTATATTATTTCTCACTAATAGTGGTAGGCTTTTAATATTACATACAAAAAATATTTAAAAAAAAAAAAAAAAAAAAAAAAAAAAAAGACTTAAACAGGTCTATTTAAACTGGTGAATGAAACCCAAATAAAAATGACTTTGAAAAACTTAAAGATATTACTATTATCCCTCTCTAAATGTGAAAAACATTAGGATCTAATTGTAAGAACTAATTTTACTTTAATTAAAAAAGAAAATGAAATTATTTTGTTAACTTTTGGCTAAAAAAGTTGAGTGAACTATTAACATTTGTGATGTCTTCTGCTTTTTAAATTGAAAAGACAAAGAAAAAAATAAAATGTAGTCATTATGCAAGACAAGTATTGCAAGCAAAAATTTTTTGATAAAGTCTTTAAAAGACTTGGAATACACTAATGAATGCAAAAAAGAACAATTCTTAAATAAAAGTTACTCTGAGCATGAAAATTAATAAGGAAATTTCTATGTATTCCCAATAAAATGTTAAACTGAAGTTGGGACTTTTATAAAAAAAAAAAAAAGTTAAATTTACCTAATTTTATTAAATATTTTTTCAAAATTTACTTCCTGAACATTTTAGTAGTGTTTTTTTTATTATGCCTTTTTGATTTTGAGATGTTTCTGGGATAATGGTTCAAACAGTTTATTCATTGAAGAAAAAAAAAAAAAAAAAAAAATTAAAATCTGGTAAGTTTGGGTGGAGAATTTTTTTCTCAAAAACTAAATACAGTGGGCACATCTTAGCTAAAGTTCAGCTCTACACATTGAAAATATTCTAGTTAATTATCCATTATTTCATATTCATTTGTATGGTTGAATATAAATGTTTTTGACTTTTGTTACTTTAAACTCATGGCCAAAAGGTGGAAGTAAGGAATTACTCAATCTCAGTTTCTAAAATGAAAAGATATACAAGTAAACAAGTTTTTTCACAAAATTTTCACTGTAAAGTGTTTTTAATGTGTTGAATTTTATGTAAAGATTTTCTATCTTGCTGTTTGGTTAAAATATTATCTATTTATGAAACATAAAAAGTAGACAAGAAATGAGAAAACGTACCAGAAATCACAATAATGAACTTTGACATTATAGAAACCATTTAGTTCCAAATAATATAATACCAAATTTGAAAAAAAAAAAAAAAAGAAAAAAAAAAGGTGAATTACTCACGTGAACAGCACTACAAAGATATTCCACCTCTTCATTCAGCAGCCTCTCTACATCTTCCACAGTTAAAAGTTCATAATCAAATTGCTCAGTGTCATCACTTTTTGGTTTATCAATGTCCAGGTCATTGACATCATTGTTGTAGTAACAGAGAAAATCATCTTCTTGGTCAGATTGTTCATATTCTGATTCTTGATCTGAGCCTTGACTCTGCATTTCTGAAGACATTATTCACTGCACAAGCCCTACAAAACAAAAAACCCCAAAAACTTCAGATTAAAAAAAAAAGAAAATGAAAAAAAAAAAAATCATTTTATCAGGTTTTAATGTTTATATTAACTTGTTCACTGTCAAATCTATTTTTAACATAAGATACTATCATAAAAACAAGTTACTTGTCCATGGCAGCAAAAATGTAAATACAGTCAAACCGTTAATGAATTTTGAAGTTGGCTTTGTGCTATTATATATTCAGGAGGCACGAATCCCATTGTATCCTTACAATTACAAATATTCTTTTGGTGATAGTGATATTTTTAGTTGGAGTGGGGTCAATATCCATACCATCCAAGTTGTATCAATTTAAAACAAGAGTTTGATGGAAACAAACCAATAATTTTTTTAAAGAAATTTTTTAAAAACATTTTCAATCAAAAATGATAGAGGAAAAAAAAAAAAAAAAGTTAAGTATCACCAACTAAGCAGAAGGTTTTGAATCTAACCTGAAAATTAAAAAGCCTTCAATACTATTGTCTGGCAGTAAAGGAAGTTTCAATTATACTTTCATTTCTTTTCACGGGTTTCATTTAATCTTAAAAATAATAAAAATAAAACTAATATGAAAGCATCATTTTTCTGTTACTGCATGTAAAATAGATTGAGTGATGCTTTCTGTTGCCGACAATAACAGATTAGTGATTAAAAGAAAACTTTAATTAAAAATAAGCCAACAAGGAAATTTATGTTCCACTACAGATGCCTTTATGCACATTCTGTTATCATGCAAATGATTAGCAGATAAAGAGACTGAAATCTATGTATTATAAACAATTCCTAAAAACCTTTTGAAAGCAAGTATCAAGAGTCTTTTGTAGATTTTATTAATATTTTTGTCTTAGAGTATTTAATGGAAGAGAAGACTGTCCCCATTACATATTTAATATTATAGAGTTCAGCTTGGTCCAAATACTAGAAGTATACAATAGCATACAAGATATATTTTGATCTCCCATGACATTTAAGGTTTAAAGTGAATTTTCAAAATTAAAAAATCTTTCTTGAAACTTTTTAGTTTTGATTGCTGTATTTTTAAAAACTAATTTAAATTAAGAATTTTTTTTTCTAAAATAGCTGATTAGTGCCTTTTTTTTTTAGTAGTTTTTTTTTTAAAAAAAAAAATCACAATATGATTCTTTAAAAAAAAAAAAAAAAAAAAAAAAAAAAACTTCCAAAAATAAAATATACTTTTCTGAAACTTTAAGGAATATTAGCCAATATAAAGTATAATTAATATGATTTGAAACATTACTTTAAGTTTAAAATATCACAAATATATTTTTAGCCTGACAGTAGGCTGTTATGACAGCCTGATGACAGGTTTTATGTTCTATGGAGACTATAAAAGAAAATGGTGCCTTATATAATTTTGAAGTACTCAGTATTCTTAAAAATTTACAAAAATATTCTCTGTAATCTAATGTTTTATTAAACTTTAAAAATGTTGGCCTTAAATTTACTATAGTTATTGCACTTATATCTGATAATATCATGTATGGTCATACGTACTAAAAAAAAAAAAAAAAAAAAAAAAAAAGGGCATGTTTATATCCATACAAAAAAAAAAAAAAAAAAAAAAAAAATTAAAAATTCTTTAAAATATTGGTGATTGATGATTTGTAAGATTTTCCATTTATGATTAGTAAATATAGTTTTTGCTTAATATCTAAAATACAGAATTTTAAAATCTTATCAAATTTCTTTTTTTCTTATGACAATAGGATCCTTAATATATCTTATTTCTGAAAGCAATTAAAAATTTTAGAATTAAATAATTAGATAGCATTTTTTATTTTATGATACAGGACAGATTTTTGGTAAATGGTATTTGTTTGACAAAAGCAAATAGATAATCTAAATTCTCCAAGGAATCCTGCTTTTAACTAATATAAATATGAAGAGGCTGAAATTCTCATAATTTCATAAAAAAAAAAAAAAAAAAAAAGCTTCATTTGTAAATATGTCCTGAAAATTTCATTAAAATTCAATTCTGATCCTCTTAAAACATTTTGATAAAACTTTTTTTTTTTTTTAACTAACATTCTAAATACCTTGTAATCTTGTTTTATTATTTGTCATACTTTAATTGCTTCATATTTCATTTCTACCTCTTCCAATTTCTACACCAACACCAATTTGTCTATCCTCCTGTGTCAACTTTAACAATAAACTAGGGTTGTCTACTAAAAGCTACTCAGCATCTTATAGACTGCCACACATATGGACTTATACTTGCATCATTTTTACCACTGTCACAATTTAAAAATTTAAGAGAAAAACAAAATCCTTTAATAATACATTAACCATTACCGCTTCTTCAAAATACTTAAAGCACATTTTCTTTTTTCCATACTTTTTAATTAATATTTTTTTTTAACAACCATGAAACCATTTGAAGTCGATACGGATGATTAGATTATGGATTAAACAAATTTTTAGCAAAAAAAATAAAAAAATAAAAAAAAAATAAAAAGTTTTTAAAAAGACATTTACAGCCTCTCTGAAGTTATGCAAAGCAAATAAACCTCAATAACTGAAAAGTTCTGAACTCGTCCATTTCGACTGTTTTTCATGTATTTTGACATGGGGGCTCTCCTCGCCAACATTATGGAGGAGTCTCCCCACAGCCCAGATAAGTCCCTGACAGCCACACCAATTGAATGGAATACAGAAACCAAAGGGGCCAGAATATTATGAGGTCTTAAAAAAAAAAAAAAAAAAAAAAAAATAGGTCTTTATTGATGGTAATGAATTACTGTTGATACCGTCGGTTCTGGAGGCGGTTGCAACAAAAACAATCATACTGCTGAGCTCAAATGTTAAATCCCTGAAATTGATTGGTATCAGCTGGGAAATAATAGAGGAGGCTCTTAAGTCTCAATATAGCCCCAGAAATGCTGGCCAAGAGGTCAAATGCAATGTGGGATATCCTGCTGGCAACAGAAGAAAAAGTCTAGCATTCTCACCACAAAATCAGTGAGATTACAAACAGAATAGTTGGGCACTCCCAGACTAGGATTATGTTGAATGGGGTACCCCTGGACATATCTGAGGACCATTTGGTGTGTGGGGGGGTTCTTTGTTGCCCCATATGGACAGATTGCCGAGGTCACACCGGCTAAAGGCAA